TGTTGGATAAAAGACTAATATTTGATACTTCTGTGGTGCTATTAATTTACCTGGTACCATTCCAGTGTTCTACATTAGCTATGTGGGGCTGATTCCCTTTTTAACTTGAAAATATCTTTAAACTGAACTATAAGAAAGTGAGGAAATTCCCAGGGTTACACAGAGCCTGAAGGCAGATTTCCTAAAGCAGCAGCATCTACTGCAAAGTAATTGTTCTTGTGAAAAGAATGCTTCAGCTAAGGGTTAAGTAAAAAGAGTGTTTCAGCTAAGGGTTAAGTTTCAGCATTGTCACAGCCAATGGCCTGAATTTGATCCCCAGCCATGGAGGTAACCCACATGGTGCAGCAGACCTCTCCTGTCAACCCTCTGTTCTCCTCAGCAGTGTATTTCAGCACACTTGTTCTGCTACCCACACTCTGGTGAATCATCTGACCTCCTGTACCCCAGTTCTTCTATGCAAAAATGAAATAATCTTACAATAAAGGAATAAATATTTTAAAACAAAAATTTTTAATTTTAAAACTATTTTGAAAGTTTTTAGAAAACTACATGGATAATAAAGAGGTTCAGCTAAGAAATAGACTGATATTTTTAAAGTTTAGATAATATAAAAATTTTGAAAATTAGAAACAATTTTGCTTTATTAAAACAAAGTATTCTGGCTTTTCAAAAAAATAGGATAATTTTTTTTAAAAGATTTATTTATTTGTGCATACAGGGCTGGGGTACAGGCCAGAGGCTCAGGGGCAGTGAGAGGCTCCACCAGAGACAGAGTGGGGAGCAGAACAGGCAGATCAATGAAGTACACTGCTGAGGGGAGCAGCGGGTGGGTCAGGAGAGGTCTGCCACACCAGGTGGTTACCTCTGAGGCAGGTGGGAATCAAACTCATGCGCAAGTGGCTTTAGCTTCTCAGTGCTGTGCTTTAACCCGCTGCGCCACCAGGGAGGGCCCAAAATAGGATAATTTTATAGATCCTTTGACATTGAAACAATTGTCAATAAATATTTCAAGAAATTTTTGGGTGTGTATGTTTTCACTCTCAAATGTTCTAGTTTGAATCTATAATTTGGTCTATAATTATATGGTCACATGATTGATCTTCTGAATTGATAGATGAGGCAAGTAAAATAATAAAACCATTACAAATAAAGAACTTTTGAACCTCATAAATAACAAGCTTAACTGGATAAACAAAAATTCAAAACAGCCATTTCTCTCAAGAACATGTGAAGCATTAGCAAAAATTAACTATGTATTATCCTTTAAAGTAAATCTTAATTCATCTAAAAGACTAGTTCATATATGCCATATTCTCTTTCCAAAATGCAACTACATTAGAAATCAATAACAAAAAATAAAGCACAAAATAAGCATTTTTTAATTTAAAAAAAAACACAAAGTACATTGGATAAAGCAGAAATGTTGATGGATGTTAAGAAATAGAACTGAATGATAATGACAATAACTGTAGAATTGGAATTCATTAAAAATAGTAACTTAATGTAAATATATACCTTTTAAGTGCTCAGGTTAGAAAAGGTAATGGCTGAAAATTAATGGACAAATTGTTCAGTGTTAAGTACTTAAGTAGCAAATTAAACCCACATAAAAAATAATGGTGGAGCATGACTAAATAGATGAGAAAAAAAAATGATAGGAAGATTTAACAGGCCAAAAATTGGTAATAAACTAGAAAAACCTGGGACAAAACTGATAAAGGACAAAATAAAATTAAATAGGGCCTCTTGGTGGCACAGGGGCTAAAGTCTCAGCTCTGTTAAGCTGTTTGTCCTCAGCCACTGCTGCCTGAGTTTGAAGGCCAGGGAGCCTGAACCTTTTTCACCTCTGCTCCCCTCAGCAGTGGATTTCAGTAGATCTGCCTGTTCTGCTCCCCACTCTGGTGAATCCTCTCGCTACCCCCTGTCCACCCCTGCACCTCTAGCTTACACCCCAGTTCTTCTACACATATAGATATATCTTTAAAAAAAAAAAAAAAAGAAACAGCAACAGGACCTCTCTGGTAGCCTAAGGGTTAAGTCTCAGCACTTTCACCAGTACAAGATGCAGAGCCGGAGAACAGAGCTCTCCAGGTTTCACCTGCTGCCCCCCTTAGCAGAGTATTTCAGTAAATTCATTTGCCTGTTCTGCTCCCAATTCTGTCTCTGGTGAATCCTCTCACTCCCCCACCCCAAACCTCTGGCCTATGCTCCAGATCTTGTACAAATAATCAAACAAACAAATACATTTTAAAAAATCTTTAAAAATAAAACCTCAGAAATAAAGATATACTACAGGCATAGAGAGCATTAAATTTAAAAAAAAAACTGAAAACGATGCCAATAAATTTGAACTTTTAGAGAAAATTAGTATATTTATGAAGAAACTTTTCAAAAATCTTAAGTAGAAAACCTATATACCTTTGCAATCACTTAAATTGACTCACGAGCTGAAAATCTTCCCATGAAGAAAAACACAATCAAAAGGATTTAATAAGGGAATTCTACCAAATTTCCAAAGAAGAGACAACCTCATATTAAATTTTGGGAGATAAAAATTAAATTAATTTTACCTAGCTACTTGAATAAGATTAGGATAATATGAAAAAGGAGAACAATAAATCGGATTCTCGGTGAATAAATGCAAAATTCCTAAACTCAATACTGAAAATAGAATCAGATGTATATAAAATATTTAATTTATCATAATAAAGTAGGGTTTACTCCAGAAATGCTTAGCTGGCTTTACACTTAAAAAAATAATATAATTTAGCACATTGGCATATTCAAAGGAGGATAAAAACATATAAAATAAATTCAAAAGCAGAAAAAACATGGTAAATTTCCTATCAGTATACAGATAGTAGGAAAAAAACTTATACAAAGTAGGAATAAAAGGTAATTTTCTTAACCTGGTAAAGACTATTTGCCAAAAACCTGTAACATATATTATTGTTAATGGAAAAAAATGTTATAACAGCTCCCTTT